AAAACTGCAAAAGAAATTCCTAATCAGATTTCTAACATAATATTTCAGATATAGTGATAAGAAGCAAATACATTTCTTGAATTAGTTATTGAGACTTCAGAATTTCCATTAGAAAATACAAATTCTCTGCTTTCAAAATATTAATTTTAGATCTGAAAAATGACATGGACTACAAATACCTTCATAAGTAACCTCATAAAATAAGCATTCATATTCATGTCTTTTAAGATATTTGTTTTTACATAGCTATCTAGTTCCTCTTCATGCCCATCCTAATTATTTTACAAAAGAAAATAATATTTTTAATATTTAAATAAATAATATGTATATATTTACAACATTTCACATTTGATCTCTAGAAACGTCCTCAGTAGCAAAAGGTATATATCTCAGAGAGACTTCCACATTTGCAAAGATATTAAATGTATTAGTTTGCTAAGGCTGCCATAGAAAAATACCACAGAGTGAGTGGCTTGAACAACAGAAACTTATTTTCTCATAGTTTTGGAGGCTTTGAGTCTAAGATCAATAGGTCAGCAGGGGTGGTTTCTCTTGAAGCCTCTCCTTGGCTACCTTCCTGCTACGCAGTCACATAGTTTTTCCTCTGTGCATGTGCATCCCTGGTGCCTCTTTGTGTATCCAAATTTCCTCTTCTTATAAGAATACCAGTCAGATTGGTGTAGGGCCCACCCTAATGGCCTATTTTCATTTAATCACTTTTTTAAAGGTCCTGATTCCAAATACAGTCACTTCTGAGGTTTCAGCTTTAAAGTATCTCTTTTGGGGAACACAATTCAGCCCACAATAGTAAGTGACAGAACAATAACACAACTATAGGTTTGATTTGAAGGCCTCTTGTCTGTGTGTGTGCGCGCCTGTGTATGTGTGGTGTGTTACAGGAAGTCCATCACAGTCTCTCTATGAAAGCAAACATTTTATATTCTTCATGGAGAACAGCTGAATGTGAATGAAAATGAGGTAATATGAGCCAGAGTATGCCAGCTTTGAGAATGTTAAGTAGGAGAATATAATGTAAAATAGCAAGGGATTCTAGGAAGATAGCAGCAATGGTGTTAGGGTTTTAGAATCTCCTGAAATTTTCCCGTAAGTACAGGTAGAACAACTATAATAGCACAGTCAAAACATGACACACATCTATAAAAACTAAGTGATAAGCTATCCACAGAAACTACCAAAATAGAAGCAGGCAAGTACAAGCTATTGACAGGTACAAGACCCACATATTACTAGCATCTGTATGAGGGAAAGCGGGTGGGGGGGGGGGCAGGCAACCAGTGGTCTGATGGGTTTGGGAAATAAGAGCCTCAAAACTGTAAGGAGTACTTACTGAAAAGTGCAGCAGGTCAACATGAGCACAGCAGCCAAAACTGTGAGGTGGATAGCAACAAAACCTGAAGTTATTGGAGCTGTCTGGGCTCTGTGAACACTTAAAACTAACCAACAAAACTCCTTTCCAGGACAAAAGCTTACACTGATGAGAAACTGCTGGGAGTATAAACCAAATCGAAGAAGAAAGGATCAATATGAATAAAGGAAAGAGAACGTACAAATAAAAGTGGGGATACAACGCCAAAAGCACCATCCATGAAAAAAAGATTGGTAAGTGGGATTTCATTAAAATTAAAAATGTCTGCTCTGTGAAAGATACTAGTAAGAATGAGAAGATAAGCCACAGACTGGGAGAAAATATCTGCAAAACACATATCTGATAAAGGACTGGTATCCAAAATATACAAAGAACTCTTAAGCTCTACAATAAGAAAGTGAACCACTCAATTAAAAGATAGGCAAAAGATCTGAGCAGACATCTCACCAAAGAAGATATACAGATGACAAATCAGAATATTAAAAGATGTTCCACATCATATGTCATCCGGAAATGCAAATTAAACCATTAAACCATGTATGTCCATGAAAATACATAGAGGAAACTTAAATGCCTATTACCAAGTGAAAGAAGCCAATCTGAAAGGCTACATATTGTGATTACAATGCAGCATTCTGGAAAAGGCAAAACTATGGACATAGTATAAAGATCCCCAGTTGCCAGGGGGTGGTGGGAGGGATGAATAGGTGAAACAGAGGAGATTTTTAAGCCAGTGAAACTATTCTGTATGATATTATAATGGCGAATACATGTCATTATACATTTGTCAAAACCTATAGAATGTACAGCACAAAGAGTGAATCCTAATGATTCACTATGGATTTCGGTCAACAATGATGGGTAAATGCTGGTTCATAGATTGTAACAAATGTGCCACACTGATTTGGGATTTTGATGGTATATGAGGTTGTGTGGGGCTAGAGGGGAGATATGTGAAGACCCTGCACTTTCCATTCAATTTTGCTGCAAACTTAAAACTGCTCTAGAAAATAAAGTTTATTAGTTAAAATATGGAAATAATTCAATTTTAAAATTTAAAAAATAAAATTAGAGAAGGAAAAAAGCTAGGAAATCTCAGACAACAAGTTCATATTTTTGATACTCTGAGAAAATAATAGAATAAGGGGCTTTGGGTATGTGATGTAGACAAAAAAGCTAAAGCAAATCTATTCTGCAGATTCCAGTTCTGGACAAGTTGAGGTAGACTCAATTCTCTATATTCCTCCCACTAAGAACACCAAAAATTCCTCAGTATTATACATCAAATAAACATAAGAAGATTCTAAAAGATGAAGAGAAGATAAACCAGAGAAGGGCCTCAAGACCTGAAGAATGACATGGCAGTGAGTTCCCTCAGTGCTCTTTTTGCCTCATATATCCTAGACTGGGTGCTAAAGAAGCCAGCAACCCAGAGGTACCAATGGATGCAAAGGAACAAAAAGTCCATATGAAGCCTGCTCTTTCTAGTCATAGGACCAGGATAGGGGCAACCTAGCAAGACAGAAAACTTTAAAGCAATAGCTGCTTTTTTCCCAGCCAAATACCATGGAAAAATCTACAGATTCCCATCTCTATCCTTATCAACAAAGGCCAAGTGGTGAGCCTGGACTTCAACCCACCCAGCAGTAGTAAAGCCCCCACTTCCTCCCCACTCAGATAGTGGTGGAGGAGGACTACTGGGAAGTTGGAATTTTTATCACCTTCCAGAATTAACATGATTCTCCCCCCATGGTATCAGTGGAGGTGAGTAACAAGGTACCAGTACCTCTCCCAGCCAAGTTGGTGAGTGAGGAGCCTGAACTCTCATCCCTGCCCAGCAATAATGAGGCACCCCTCCCTTTCCAGAGAGTAAGTGGAGACTGAGTAGAAAACCTAGACTTCCACTCCCATCTGGCAAGAAGGAACAAGAGGGGGGTGCCTGGGTGGCGCAGTCGTTAAGCATCTGCCTTCGGCTCAGGTCATGATCCCAGGGTCCTGGGATCAAGCCCCGCATCGGGCTCCTCGCTCTGCGGGAAGCCTGCTTCTCCCTCTCCCTCTGCCCCTGCTTGTGTTCCCTCTCTCGCTGTGTCACTCTCTGTCAAATAAATAAATAAAATCTTTAAAAAAAAAAGAAGGAACAAGAGGTTCTCTCATATCTCTCCAGTGCAGTAGTAGGGCCAGCCTGCTAAAACAGATTTAAATAAGATCCAAAATGAAAAAAAAAAAAAAAAAGGAAAATCTAACAAATAAATAGAAGATATAGAGAGAACCAAATGGAAATGTTACACCTGAAAATACAATAACTAAAACAAAAAGCTCAATGGATAGTCACAATAGCAGAATGAATATGAAAGAGGCAAGAATCAGTGAACTTAAAACAGAAATGATCCAATCTGAACAACAGAGAGAAAACTGACTGAAAAAAACCTCTTCTTAAAGAATAGAATTCATTTCATATAAAAGTACAAAAGAGATTCAGCAGGTGTCCCTCCAAAGCAGCTTCTGCCCTGATACACTCTGCAAGCAATCCCAGCAGGGACTGGTGCCACTCCAAAATGACTTCTTCCCTGGGAGAGGGGAAGATAACCACACACACAAGTGCATCCACAGATCCAGGAGCCAAAACTTATAGCTGGCAGCACAGAGAGAATGCCCTGTTGATCAGGCCAACTACAGCCCCAGCAGGGCGGACTGGGGACAGGCCTCTGGTCTGATTGTTGACGCCACCCAACCACAAGCCCACAGCAGCCCCAGACTGATCCCTCAATGGCACAAGGGCCAAACTCTGCTCAGTGTACCCACAACAAGCAAAGTGGGCCATTGCAGCCAACTGGACTAGAGGCAAACACAGCTCAGCCACAATAGTAGGGTGCAAGCAACCCATATAGGACACACCCCTGGTTCTGGTGAACATGGGGCATTGCACTATGGGCCACCACAGGACCTCTTCTTCATAAGGCCACTACTCTCAAGATCAGGAGACATAGCTGACTTTTTTAATACACAGAAACAAAGAGAGTTAGATAAAATGAGGAGGAAGAGGAATATGTCACAAATGAAAGAACAGAACAAAACCACAGCAAAACAGCTAAATGAAACAGAGATAAGTAATATGCATGATAAAGAATTCAAAGTAATGATCATAAATATCCTCACTGGACAATAGACTTGAATTAGAGCTCAATAACAATAAGATATTTAGAAATCCCCAAATATCAGGTAAAAATACACTTTTAACAGATCATTTGAAAGAAGACATCACACAGCAAATTAGTAAATATTTGAAACTGAATGGTAATAAAACACAATATACCAAATTTGTGGGATATAGCTAACACTATGCTTAAAGAGAAATTTTTAGCTGTGGTTGCCTATATCAAGGGGAAAAAAAAAGATTTAAATCAGTTACCTAAAGTGTCCAATTTAAGAAACTAGAAAAAAAAAAAGTATTAGACCCCAAAATGTCAGGAAGATAATAATGATGAGATCAGGAAACAATAAATAAATTAGACAAACAGTAGAAAAAAAGTTGATTCTTTGAAAAGTTTTAAAAATTCATCAACTTAGCAAGACTGTAACTCAACAGTTTATTATGAAATAACAACAACTTTACCTTGGCCAATTCTGTAATTTTACCAAAACCAGGCTTCCAAGAGGGAGCTGTGAATAGATGATCTTAAATCCACTTTCATGAAGCTGAGCCTCTTCAGGGAAGTCTTCTTCAGAAATAGAGCACTTATTATATCTTGAATCAGTGTTCATGAAGCAGTACCATGGTTTATTGTGATCAACTTTGGCTGCGTCCTCACTTGACAATGATCTCCATTTCAAACAGCTTTCATTCTCACATTGAACCCACACTTTGTTTACATACATATTGTTTTCTGCTGAGGAATCCATTGCAGTGTTACAATATTCTACTATTATCTTACCATCCAGTTGTTCTTTTTCCATAAATGCATTTAATCTGGAAAACAAATAAGAAAAAAAGAAGAAAGATTCAAGAATATAAGGAAAGTTCAAACCAAAATCAGAGAAACAGCCCTGTACCTTCTTTGCCCATATCTTCTCTATCCCATAAAGACTATACATTTTGAACAATTTGTTTCCACCTACCCAGAAACAAAGGAACAAAATAAAAGCATCAATCACTCTGGGCATAAAATGCTCCAAAATTAAAAATAAATTTGTAATCACAAATAAAAATAAAAATAAGTATGACCATTTTTACAGAGAAAACTGAATCTAAGAAAAGTAATTTGTTTGCAGTCCCAGAGCTAGTATATGGTAGAGTCAAGATTTAACCAACTGAGCCACCCAGGCACCCCAGTAGAGTCAAGATTAAATGCAGGAAGTTTGGTTCCAAATTCTATGATCTTACCCACTAAGCTTTACTGCCTCATATATACATATATATTTCATATATATATATGAAATGAATATATATACTCATATGAAATGACTTGACCCCTTTTATTTTCTAATTCTGAGAAAAATCAAATGTAACAAAATATTTCACCATATGAATGTTTGAAATCTACTTTTAAAAACTAATCTGCTTATATAGTTTTGCTTTTTATACATTAATTCAAGTAATTTGAAAAAAGCATTTCTGTTTTTTATTATGAAAATTTTAAACATATAAAACATTAGAATTGTATGATTAAGTTCCCAACTTCTAGCTTCAATAATAACTGTGTGTATACTAAAAAATAATACAACTAAAATAAAGTAAAATTAATTAACAACTTATTTTGCAATAGAAACCTGTTTCAAAGAATGACTTCAATATACCATATTCACAAGTTAGCAAAACACTACTATCCAAGTATAAGCACCATTTAAAGAAGCTCTTAATTCATGAGTTAATCATATATTTAGAAACTCACTTATCATATTTCAGGGTCACCACAAATTGCTTTAGAAATTTGCCAATTTATGCCAATAGTCATAGTTCACAATTTTTTACCTGTTAATGCTGCTCGTATGACTGTATCCACAGAAAATAAACCTCAAAGAAACTATTCTACATATACAGAGATCCAACAATATTCACTGTGGCACTATTTATCATACCGAAAGAGTGGACAAATCTAAAAACACGAAGAACTAAATCTATTGGAAGAGGGATAAAAAATTTGCTAATAATATTCATGTAAATTTCTGGTTAATTATTTAACTGGTGAGGAAATTTATGAGAAGCATGCCTGCACTTTAGATTGCATTTGAAGTGAACAGTTTTTTCCTCAATTCTCTGTGCCACTGGACAGTACAGAAGTTGTTGAGTTCAGACATTGGAGCCAAATTATGTGTGAACTCTTGGCTCTGTTATTCACCAGCTGTCCCTGGGCAAGACATTTATTTTGCATTTCACTTCACATTAGGTGTAAGTCTGTGTGTGTGTGTGTGTGTGTGTGTGTAGCAGTTTTATTTTCCATCCTTGTATCTTCTTTTACTGTGCTGCCTAAGACAGGCATAATATTGAATAGAAGTCATGATAGTAGACATCTTTTCCTAATTTCAAAGAGAATGCTTCTACTATTGGACTATAGAGTCAAATATGTATATTTTTTGATAGAGACCATTAAAAAGTTGCCAGAAAATTTTTCCCTTCAATTACCAGTTTACTATGAGGATTTTTTGTTAATAATGAAGCACTGTTGAATTTTATTTATTGCTTTTCTGTAGGTATTGAGGTAAACATAAAGATTTTTTAAGTCTATTAATTGGGTATGTTGTAATAATGAATTTATTAATGATAAATCATACTTTCATTCTAGGTAAACCCTACATGATCAAATGTTATGAGATTTTTTTAACATATATTGCTGTATTTAGCTTATTAACAGTTATTTAAGATTATATATATGTTTATAGATGAGATTAGTCTAATAATTGCAATTCTCTTCTTTTTGCCTTTGTCTGGTTTTGATATCAAGATTAAAATAACCTCAAAATGAAGTACAGAATGTCTCTCTTTTTATGTAAAGTTTGCCTAAGGGGGGAGTTCCCAATTCTGTCTTACTTTTAAGAGTTCTGGTGTATCGGGTGCCTGGGTGGCTCAGTTGGTTAAGTGACTGCCTTCGGCTCAGGTCATGATCCTGGAGTCCCGGGATCGAGTCCCGCATCGGGCTCCCTGCTCAGCAAGGAGCCTGCTTCTCCCTCTGACCCTCCCCCCTCTCATGTACTCTCTCTCATTCTTGCTCTCTCAAATAAATAAATAAAATCTTTGAAAAAGAATTCTGGTGTATCTACTATGTCTCTCATTATGTTTCTCTCCTTCACCCTGAAATTTATTTATATCTTCTTTTTCTTCATTTATCTTGTCAGTACTTTTTAAACACAAACAGCATTTCAGTCTTCCCATTTACTTTTTTAGAATCCTATTAAATTAATAGCTGCACTCTATTCTTTCCTTCCTCTACTTTCTTGGGCATTCTTTGTTGATCTTCCCTTTCTCGAGTTGGTGCTTGATTAAATTATTTTCAGTCTTTTTAAAATTAATTTTATTTAATTATGGTAAAAACACTTAACATGAGGTCTACCCTCTTAACAAGTTTTTAAGTGTATCATACAGTATCGTTGACCATAGGTACAACATTGTATAGCAGATCTCTATAACTTACTCATCTTGCTTAATTAAAATTTTATGCCTGCTGATTCATAACTTCCCATCTCCCCTTTAACCCCACCCTTCAATTCTATGAATTTGACTATTTTAGATACCACATATAAATGGATTCATGCAGTATTTGTCTTTCTGTAACTGCTCATTTCACTTAGCATAATGGCCTCAAATTGATCCATATCCAATATTTTGCAGATTTTGCAAGGCTGAATAATATATTCCCTTGTAGGCTTTCTTCATCCACCCATCAATAGAAACTTAGGTTGTTTCCGTATCTTGGCTATTGTGAATAATGCTTCTATGAACATGGGAGTGCTAATTTGTCTTTGAGATCCTGATTTCAATTCTCTTAGATCAGTACCCAGAAGTGGGATTGCTGGATCCTATGGTAGTTCTATTTTTTAACTTTTTGAGGAACCCCCCCATATTGTTTTCCATAGCAGCTGCATCATTTTGCATTCCTACCAACTGTGTACAAGGTTCCAATTTCTCCACATTCTCGTCAACATTTATCTTTTAATTTTTTGATAATAGCCACCTTAAACAGGTTTGAGATGATATGTAACTGTGGTTTTGATTTGCATTTCTGTGATGATTACTTATGTTGAGGATCTTTTCATACATCTGATGGCCATATTTATGTCTTCTTTGGAAAAATGTCTATTCAGGTCCTTTGCCCATTTTAAATCTTGATTATTACTATTATTTCTATTAGTTGTAAGAGTTCCTTACATATCTTGGATATTAACTCCTTATTGAGTATATATTTTGCAAATGTTTCATTCTAGTCTATAAGTTGCCTTTTAAGTTTGTTGATGGTTTCCTTTGTTGTGCAGAAACATTTTAGTTTTATACAGTCTTACATATTTGGTTTTGGTGTAAGATCCAAAAAATCACTGACAAGACTAATCTCAATGATCTTCTCCCCTAAGTTTTTTTTGTTTGTTTGTTTTTAAACATTTTATTTATTTATTTGACAGAGAGAGAGAGAGAGAGCGAGAGCAGGAACACAAACAGGGGGAGTGGAAGAGGGAGAAGCAGGCTTCCCGCTGAGCAGGGAGCCCAATGCGGGGGCTCAATCGCAGGACCCTGAGATCAGGACCTGAGCCGAAGGCAGACGCTTAACGACTGAGCCACCCAGGTGCCCCTCCCCTATGTTTTTTTTATGAGTTTTACAGTTTCAGGTCTTTAATTTGAATCTTTAGTCCTTTTTGAGTTGATTTTTGTGTATGGTATGAGATAAGGATCCAATTTTATTCTTTTGCATGTGATTATCCAATTTTCTAATACCATTTATTGAAGATGCTATTATTTTCCTATTGTGTATTCTTGGTGCCTTTGTCAAAAAATGAGTTGACTATATATATATGTGGGTTTATTTCTGGGTTCTCTATTCTGTTCCACTGATCTGTGTGTTTTTATGCCAATACCATACTATTTTGATTACTATAGTTTTATAATATAGTTTGAAATGAGGAGGTAAAATGCCTCCAAATTTGCACTTCTTGCTCAAAATTGTTTTAGTTATTTGGATTCTTTTACGATTCCATGTGAATTTTATGCCTGCTTTTTTCTATTTCTGTAAAAAACACCATTTGATTTTTTATAGGGATTGAGCTGAATGTGTGGATCACTTTGTGTACCAGGGACATTTTAACAATATTAATTCTTTCAATCCATGAACATGAGATATCGTGCCATTTATTTGTCTTCAATTTCTTTCAGAAATGTCTTCTAATTTTCATTGTACAGATCTCTTACCTCCTTTGTTAAGTTTATTTTTAAGTATTTTATTCTTTTTGATGCAATTAGAAATGGGATTGTTTTCTTAATTTCTTTTTCAAGATAGTTCGTTGTTAGTGTATAGAAATGCAACCAGTTTTTGTTTGATTTTGTATCCTGCAACTTTACTAAATTCATTCATTAGTTTTAACAGTTTTTGGGTGAAGTCTTTAGGATTTTCTATATGTAAGATAATGTATTTTGCAAACAAAGACAATTTTACTTTTTCCTTTCTGATATGGATGCCTTTTATTTCTTTTCCTTGCCTAATTGTGCTGGCTAGGATTTCCAGTACTAAGTTGAATAGAAAGAAGTGTGATGAGAGTGGATGCCTTTGTCTTGTTCCTGATCTTGATCCTGATGAAAGCTTTTCATCAGTGAGTATGTTAGTTGTAAACTTGTTATGTAAGACCTTTATTTTTTTGAGGTACATTCCTTCTATACCTAATCTGTTGAGAGTTATATCAAAGGTTGTTAAATGTTGTCAAATCCTTTCGCTGCATCTACTGAAATGATATGATTATTTTCTCCTCATTATGGCATGTTTATTGATTTGA